GTTGCTAGGGTGTTGCTATGCGGTTGCTAGGGTACCCGGGGTGGTAACAAACCTAAAAAGACAGATTGAATGTATGTGATGCTATCTGACGAATGTTGGATCTTTATGAAATCAATCCAAGATGGTTTTATTTATACAGAGCTTTAAAAAAAATGTACATTGCTTCAAAGCTGCTTTACTGAAAAAATATTTCAGTATTAATATCTGAAATAGATACGTGCAATAACATACAGATAAAGTGATGGCAGCTGTGAATGTGCTGATAAAGATATTGAGATAAGATAATAGGTGAATTATGTCTGAAAGGAACAGATAAGGTTCTCAATCATTGTTTTCTACCTGATAAATGCAATAAAAAACAAACAAAAGTTCTTAAAATCAAGTTTTTGCTTGTATTGGAGACTCTTAACCCATTTATCAGGGGTCTCTGAGACAGGACTGCATATTTCAGTCTTACTTATGGACTGTGCGACTAAGATAGTCATAACATTCCTAAATCATAACATTAAAGCTTTCAGCTAAAGAATTTCTCATAATTTTGAACGGGAAAAAAGTGGTAATTTACTCATCTCCATGTTGTTCCAAACCTATTTCTTTTGAGTGCAGTTCTTCTGAAATACATCAGTTGGCTGAAGAACAGCAAGAATCGTTTACTGATAATATTCCCCTCCAAGCTATTGCATTCTGAACATTTTGTACCTTCATTTTCCAACCCTTTGACCCTACCTCAGGTAAAAATGGGTGAAGATCCATCTGACATCCAGTCATTCTGGTTCTACTTGACAAACCCTTGAAATGTGGAGGTGAAATCACAAGACTCCTGAGATGCAACAAACATGGTAGGCCTACAACTCTATACATTGCATGTTTAGTTCAGCCAATCATCACCTTTTGTTAGTTTGGAAATAAATATGGTTATATTGCTCATTTATTTATTTAGATTTCCCCCCAATTTGTGTAAAAGTGTGTAAATCTTTCAGTGTGAAAAAAGTTATTTTATTAAATCAAGGTCGAATGCATTACATTTTGGGATACAGTAATCAGTGCAGTGTTCTGTATGTTCTAAGCATACTAAAAATGTGCACTGTATACATATGGCAGAAATAGTAAGTGTGCTAATACAAATATTACATTCCCTAGTTGTCCCAACGCTCTTGATTCTGCCCATACTGGAGATGAATTGTGCAGCACTGCCCTCTACTGGATATATTCATTCATAGATCATTGCTGAGCTTTTCAGTATAGGCAGAGGATTTGGAAAGCAAAGAAAAGAAATCCAAATCAACCCGGTTAAAAAGTGAATTTAATATGAATTTTAAAGAAAATAATTCTTTAGGTGCTGATATTGTTTTTCAGTCATACAATGCATGCACAGTTATTAGCAAAAATGCTGTTTAAAACAGTTTTAGATGAACGGATGCCATAGCATGTCACACTCAAGAACATGTGTGCTTCCCACAAGCATTAATGCCAAGTTGTCAAATACTCTTAATGTCAGAAGAAGACAGAATGCATGACAAAATATCACCCACTACTAAATAAAAGTCTTTGTTTTAAAATTGAAGAAAAGGGACACCTACCAGTTAGAATGGTCTCTTTAATAACCACAGGAGGGCTCTAGAGCCAAGGGTTCCTAAGAGACCGTGCATCTGATTGCAGGAATGGAAGAACAAGATGGAGAATCCCTTGGCTGAACCATGAGGCCAGCTGTGAGTTACAGGAGTTAACACAGTCAGAGCACTGATTACTCTAATAAAACTTCTCACGCTGATTGTCCAAATAAAACTTCCCTCACTGGGAAGGCATAAAACTTCACCGAGCGGCTCCCTTGGACAGAAAATGGGCACCACTATCCCAGACATAGCGGTAATGGTTTCCTCTCTTTCTTTGAATAAAAATTCTGAATGAAAGTCTCTGCACAGTGTCTCTGTGTGTGTGTGTGTGTGTGTGTGTGTGTGTGTGTGTGTGTGTGTGAGAGTGTACCTGTTTTTCTATTCTGGTGGGGACTTAAACCTGAATACACACAGACTCATGGGGACTCGTGTCACGGTGGGGACCTAAATTGTGGTCCCCACGGGTAAACAAGCCAATAATTCACACAGAATTAAGTTTTTTGAAAATCTAAAAATGCAGTTTCCTGTGAGGGGTAGGTTTAGGGGTAGGGTTGGTGTAGGGCAATAGAATATACGGTCTGTACAGTATAAAAACCATTACGCCTATGGAGAGTCCCCACAAGGATAGCTGACCCGACATGTGTGTATGTGTGTGTGTGTGACTGGACTACAAAAAGCACTGAAACTCACGAGGTATGAAAAAGTTGTAGCTAGACTGAACTGACAGAAAGGGTGTGATACTGAATTGAATATCAACAGCTCAAAAGGGGACCCTTGAGAGAGAGAGAAACAGCGAGAGAGACGGAAGTTGAGTGGGAAAAGAACGCCATGTGTTCAGTAAACAAACTAAGTGTGATGCCAGAGAAAAGGGTCAACAAAACAGAAGAAACAGAACAGAAGAAAAAGTCTCTTCCGACAGAGCCGTCCAGCCAAAAAGAGTCCTGACCGACTTACTTCACCTCTGCTTTCTTTTTGTGCCCCATCCTGTTCTCTTCCATCCATCCTTTCTTCTCTTGTGTATCTACATCCTCTCATTTGCATCTTACATCCCTGAGTGACAGATTAGCCTACCGTACGTTCCATATTATATTATTATTTTATTTATTTATTTTTGATAGGCTATTATTTTATTGTTTTGCTTTTCAGTTTATTCAGAGACGGAAGTTGAGTGGGAAAAGAACGCCATGTGTTCAGTAAACAAACTAAGTGTGATGCCAGAGAAAAGGGGAAACAGAACAGAAGAAAAAGTCTCTTCCGACAGAGCCGTCCAGCCAAAAAGAGTCCTGACCGACTTACTTCACCTCTGCTTTCTTTTTGTGCCCCATCCTGTTCTCTTCCATCCATCCTTTCTTCTCTTGTGTATCTACATCCTCTCATTTGCATCTTACATCCCTGAGTGACAGATTAGCCTACCGTACGTTCCATATTATATTATTATTTTATTTATTTATTTTTGATAGGCTATTATTTTATTGTTTTGCTTTTCAGTTTATTCAGATGCCACATTTACCGGTAAGTTAGCCTACATAGTTTTACATCCCTAGATTTAATTCTCAAAACAATTAAAAACTTATCCAACCGAGTTCTTCCGGCCTAAGAAAATCGCGCACTTTTGGCAGGTGGGCGGGAAATCAAGATTAACACACGTGTGAAAAAGCCCCGCGCAAAATGTCTCGGCACCAACCGGATTGTACCGCCGTCTGCGTTCAGATTTATGTGTCTGGTCCGTCTAGGGCACGCGGTAAATTTAACTTCCGCCACAACAAGCTTCGGTTTTACGTCGTCCAACCTTCAGAAATAACCTTTAGAGCGTAAATAATTACATTTCATTAGTTTTATATGATAGCCGCTTGTTAAATTTACGCCCGATAATTTAGACGCCAGCAACACCGATACCGATACCGTGAACAAGACTTTCCTAAACAGAAATTAAAATGCAGCATGAGCTTTTATGTGAAAGATAAAAAAAAAATTTAAGTTATGTAATATAACTGTTGACTTTCATATTGTGAAGTTAAAAAGACTAATTGCACCAAATGCCACAAAAGTCAAATCAAGTCATAGGCCTTTTTGGGAATGAAAAGCTGAGAGGAAGTCATACAATCTGTTCAAAAGATCAACATTCAAGCATTCTGCTAATGCAACACATTTATATATACACACACACACACACACACACACACATACATATTCTACACAAACAAATACATAATCGTGACATTTTTGGGGGCGGCTGTGAAAATAAGACCTATAGCTTCGACTCATTCACAACCCATTCAGCTTCTATTCTTTACAGACTCGTTTTTATTCGCGAAAAAAGAAAAGAAAGAAATATGACATCTATAGGCTACACTCTAAAAAAATGCTGGGTTGTTTCAACCCAACTTTGGGTCAAATATGGACTAACCCAACTTTTGGGTTAAAAATAAAAATTTTAACCCAAAAGTTGGGTTAGTCCATATTTGACCCAAAGTTGGGTTGAAACAACCCAGCATTTTTTTGAGTGTACCCTAAAACCTTAAAATAATAATAAAATACTTAAATAAAATCCGCCTTATACTTAAGTTAAAATATTCATCTTGTATCCTTTGTTGGTAATTTATATATATATATATATTGTTTGCTTGTTTTTTTAAAAATTATTTTTAGTTGTAGTATTAGTAGTAATTAATTAGAGTGTTACATCACACGAATAGTAATCATAGTTACGGTAATTCTTTTTCTTTGTCCCCTTCAGCACCTCTTTTCAAAGGGTTGCACCTGTTTTCAAGCGGACATGGATCGACTTCAAAGTCGTGTCACTCTGAAAGTCGCAAACTCTCCGCTCGGATAGAGAAAAGAACGAGGGAACTAATTCAACATCCGAGGTCGTATTTATTAATAATGCATGCGTCCTCCGACCAAAGGCAACATACAGTTTCTTCATTTCGACATATTTAAATCAAGCAGAAAAGTTTACAAAGGCTGAGGAGCGGAGGAGCTCAACAAGGGCTCTATTTACAGCCGGAGACACGGGGGCCGTGAGGAGGAGCGGGGGGCCGCTGAATTAATGAATTAAACAGTGCTGAGGCGCTGAAAGTACGTATTTCATCAACAATGAAAGGCAGGACTGAGAAGAGAGGAGAACGTTTTCAGATAGTGCTGCGAACAAAACTTATTGAGGAGTTCCACTTAAGACGAGACAAGAGATAGAAAGAGAGTTTGGAGGATAGAGAGAGAGAGAGAGAGATAGAAAGGGCATTGCACAATAAATCGGTAACATTCGACCGGCACTGACTGACACTTACTGCTTAGGACACAATTTGTTGCTAGGATCGAACCGATTATAGCCTATATAGGTTATATATTTTTTTTACTTGACGGATTTTGTATATTTGCATATTTATTTAGGCTGGAGTTTTAGAATCGTATATAGAAAGGGCATTGCACAATAAATCGGTAACATTCGACCGGCACTGACTGACACTTACTGCTTAGGACACAACTTGTTGCTAGGATCGAACCGATTATAGCCTATATAGGTTATATATATTTTTTTACTTGACGGATTTTGTATATTTGCATATTTATTTAGGCTGGAGTTTTAGAATCGTATAAACTGTTTCAAATGTGTTTATTTGAATGATAAACATTATGAGACCGAGTCACTCTTCTGGCGCGGATGGTATCGGCAAAGTTGTCAGGAACGCGCTACTCTCCGTTCTGAACGCTTTCACAACTTTCGCCTCAGACTATCCTCCGATGTGTCCCGAAGCTGGGAAGCAGCAGTGACTGTTGTGAATCACAAAAAGAGAGAGCTCTGCGTTCAAGTCCTCGGTAAAAGGTAAGTGCTGAAGTAATTACACATAGCCGAACATCTGTGCTGAAGTCACTCGTGAGGCCTAGAGGTCGATATGCTGCGATTGCGTTCATTTAAGATGAAGGAGATTAATGAAGAAACTAAACCATGAGAATATGTCATTCATCTCTGCAGATTTGAATCCAGCAGCAGGTCTCATCCTCAAATAAGGCATGATGTAAGACATCAGGTGCATCTCAACAAGATGATTTAGGATGCAAAAACATATATCATTGTTAAATATTAGTGCATAGAAATAAGTAGTATTATAGTGAAAATGGGTTGGTGTTTGATTGCTCAGATATCCTGTGGCATGTTTAATTGGTCATTTAATTAGTTAAAATGAATTAATAATGCACACGTTTAACTGTTCTTGCTTCAGTTTGATACGATCGAGTTCGTGCCACTCTCTTTCGAGTTTCAGTATGTTTAACATTATAATGCAAAATGCAAATTGAAAAAGATTTAATCAAAAAAGTTTGACAGTAAAATTGAACTGGCAAAAGCATTTTTTTGGTTTGTTGTGTTTTGTTGGCCAAGTATTGGTTTTGGTTTTGTAAAATGCATTTGTCTGCAATAAATATCATGCACATTTATTACAGTTGTATTTGGATTTATAATGAGAACTTTCAGTTTGTTTAAAGCTTTCAAATTCAATTTACTGTTACAGTTCACTCTATTAAATAACACCGCTTCTGTTTAATGCATGAGCTGTAGAGAAATAATATTTACTGATGCAGAGATATAAAAGAGGAGGATTATCTGCGGCTATCAAAATAATTTCATAGACTCTGACTGAAACACAGCATCGCGTGGGCATTCTTTTCTTTCTTTTTTTTGTTTGTTCCTTTCAACTGATCTGATATGCTCCCCATTGCTCTTTCTGGCAAACATCAGACCTGGCAAAGTTTTTGGATTTTATTTTGGGACTTTTCCCTTGCAACCTGGTTATTTTGGAGATCTAAACCCAGCCAATGAAATAACTGATCTGCCTAGATCAGATAACTGAGCAAAAGATTAATTAGAGGTTAATGTTGATTGGTAAGCGGGTCGATTTGTTCGCAGAGTGATTTCCTGAGCACTTTAACATAGAAAAGTCAACTACGATTGTGAGAATTGCATTGGATCTGGTGAACAGAGGAAAGTAAACATTGCACATCCACAGAATACTGATGAGAGAGTTTTAATATCGGCTTGTTTTCTGTCCATCTCTGCATGTCATTCCTTCCTTTCTCTCTCTCTCTCTCTCTCTCTCTGTCTCTCTTACTCTCGCTCTCTCACACACATGCAGTGTTGTATTTTTCAATGGTGGCTTTTGTCTCTTTCATCTCATCTCTAAACAAAAGGATTCTTGTGTATACAGGACAGCGAGTGAGAAAGAAAGACATCGAGGGAGGACAGAAAGTGAGAGAAAGAGTGAGAAAGAAGATGAAGACAATTTGTAAACTTTTGCAGTGAAGCAACATGGCTTCGTTTCTGCACGCTCAAAAGTTTGCATGCACCCCGTTATTCGTTATGACTGTTTTTCCACATTTCAGAATAATAATTAAGTCATAAAATAACACGCTGATAAATGGAAATGATGATAACTTTCCCGTTAAGTAGTGTTGGATTAGTTTGCATGTATTCTTAGTCAAATATTCGTGTGTAGGCACAATGTAATTTTTGTCTCCAAAACTAATTTCATGCACTTCAAGCCTTTAAACCAAAGGTCTTTGAGAGCATGAGAAACATATATTGAGTCAAGTGCGTGTCAGCGTTTGTCTGCTGTATGTACTGTATCAGTGTGCACGCGTGTGGGCGCGTACTCGCCGGAGTTCGAAGGTCAGCTCTGTGTACAATCTGCTTATAACACGTGCCTCTGCGAGGAACCGCCCCCTCCCTCTCGGCTGGCGTTAGTATTCAGAGCACAGAGATCCAGACAGATACCTATTCATTCTCTCAGTGTGAGTCCAGAGAGAGAGAGCGAGGTCAGAGAGGGGAGAGCGTATCACATCTCCCTGCTACTCATTCATTTCATTTCATTTATTTTATTTGGTGCGGAAGGCAGAAGCTGAGTGAGACTAAACTACCACTTAGACATTTAAACATGAATGCAGAGAGGGAGAGTGAGATTGAACAGTGTGAATGAATAGAGTCACCCTTGAAAGTGATTCCTTGTGTAACGTAGTTAAGATATTGGTTCTTAGTTTTGTTTTCAAGTTGCTGCTTGTCCTGAAATTCACAAATGAGTCAATTGTTTGACATCCTAGAACAATTACATTAATGTGGATAGCGCCTCAGATCATCGATCCTGTAAGAATTTAATGAGCCAAATTAAATCAATGCATATTGTTTCAAAGCAGCTTTACAAAAAATCATGATGTTAATGTTTATAGTCACATTTACCAGATTAGAGCTGAGTGAAAATATATTTTACATTTTGCAACAATACAAGCAATCAAGAAGATTTGTTATGTGACCCTGGACCACAAAACCAGTCATAAGGGTCAATTTTTTTGAAATTGAGATTTGTGCATCATCTGAAAGCTGAATAAATAAGCTTGATGTATGGTTTGTTATGATAGGACAATTTTTGGCCGAGATACAACTATTTGAAAATCTGGAATCTGAGGGTGCAAAAAAAATCTAAATATTGAGAAAATCGTCTTTAAAGTTGTCCAAATTAAGTTCTTAGCAATGCATATTACTAATCAAAAATTAAGTTTAGATATATTTACGATAGGACGTTTACAAAATATCTTCACTGAACACTGAGATATCTTCAGATTACTGGCGAGTTTTTTCTTAGGAGAAACACTTTTCTTCATTCTGGTCTCAATTTCTTTGAATCAGCTGGTGTTTTGGTGATTTTTAGTGGCTGTACGAAGTCAGTTCTCCTCAGGTTCACAGAGGAACCACAGATGTAGAGAATCACAGTAACACTACATCTAGTCTTTTGTCATTTCAAACTGTACAAGCGCTTTCTTTTGACAAATGTTTTGCTTGAAATATGTGTTTGTGCTATCTTTTGGTAAGAAAGAAGATATTTTGAAAACTTTTTTTTTTTTTTTGCTTGCCCATACGATAGAAGTCAATGGTGTCCAAAGTTATTTGGTTCCCAATGCTCTTCAAAATATATTTTGTGTTCCACTGAAGAAAGTGATGTCCAGATGTTTTACTTTACTTCTTGTTTATGTATTCTTATTCTTATGATAATTGCTATTTAGTTATCTGTAATGACATTCAGACAATTCATTCGTCTACGACATCAGACTATAAAACCATTATTGGTTCTTGACCAGTGTATGATTGTGTAAAGAAGTTTTATTCCAGGACCATTTTGGATAAAAAAATGCCAGAATAGTCAGTTTTTTGAGCATGATCGCTGTACTTTTTCTAGCTAATGTGTGGTTTGCATACACAAAAAGTTTGATCCAAAGCTGTAGGGGAAGTGATTGAAAAAACTGTCCAAGAAGCCTCTACGAAACAAAGTTTATAAAGGTGAAGGATTAAGAAGCGTCATCCTCAATGTAACAGAGGAATGCAGAGAATATGGAAAACATTGTGGTGTTCTTTTCATCTCTGATTCCTTCCTGCGGTTTTGTGTTTTTGGATTGTGAATAAGTCACCCTTTTCAGCACTCACTTGGGCCAACCGAGCACGGCATGTGAGTTGGTCAGCGTTGACGACTAGCCTTTAAATGAGAAAGGGCAGCTGCTTCCACTGTGTGAATGAGGGGCATTTAATGCGCTTGGGCAGCTGGAGGGTCTGAATGTAGAGTCAAAAAAGAGTAACGGACCACCAGGGTCGCCCCCAAACCCGGCCCTGTACCCCTTCCTGGCACACACAAACCTCGAGAGAGAAGGATGCGCTCACGTGTCCGCGATAAAGATCACCGAAAGCTATACTTTGCCCATTTCAGCTTTTAGAGAAGTCGTTTTAAATACTGCTGAGAGTCGCTAATGTGTCCCTAATGTGGCTCTCTTTACTTGGTCGATGCACGTCTTTCAGATAGAGATAGAGCCCTCTCTCTTCCCATGTGCTATTTCTTCTAAAATGCTACGAGACGACCTAGATTTTACAGACGGCGATAAGGTGACAGGTTTCTCACACAGAAGCTTAACTGCGGAATAGGTTATTTCATTAAAAATAACTTATTTTTATGTCAGAGCAACAAGATACTGGTAGTTTCTGTAACCTAAACTGAGTCCCATCTGATAACATCCACTGCTGGCCAGAAAAAATAAAAAGAGGGAAATAAGTGGAATTATTAGCAAAATATAAATGGCAATGTGAAAACACAAAATGAGAGATCACAACATCATAGTTCAGTGCTGCTGCAATTGTCACAGCAAAACCTGAACACTTAAACAAAAAGATGTCCAAGTTTCATGTTTCAGTGTTTGGTCATAATTGAACATCAACCCAATTGCAGTCTGTATCTTGTCTATGTAGCAAACAGTCTAGTGTGCTGAAAGCTTTAGCAGTCTTTAATTAGAGTTTTGGATGAAGAAAGCCTTGTCACCTGTGCATTTTAGAAACTGCATTTGCTTGCATTTTGAACACCAACAATTACATCAGTGGATGAGTTTTAATGCAGAAATTATTTAAGAAACTCTTAGATTTGACCTCATAAATAGTGCAAATATTCATTGTTATCAATCGATATTAGCTAATTTGCAGAGTTTTATACTGAAGAGTCAGGACATGATATGTGTTATAAATAACTTTTTTTTTAAATTTCCCATGACCTGTGTACATGCACGTTTTAAACCAGGGGTAGCCAACCCTGCAACCCTGGAACTCAAATCTGCAGGAAGGTAGAAGAAATTAGACTACTTATTTGAAACCATCTCTCTCTTCCCTCCTAGCTATGACCTCAGCCACGCCCCCTTCCTCCCGTAGCCCCTCCCCACAGAAGGTCTGCCACTCCCAGACACAGACAGACGTTCTAAAGCCACTCCTAGGCGGAGGAGGCGGGGCTTCAACAGGAAACGGACCTGCGGCATTGAGACGCCGTCGACGGGTGCTATCTAAAGATGGGCGGAGCAATGTACGCATCGAACACGTCAGCGGCCGAGGGACGCTTTACCTGCGTGACCTCTGGACGACCTTTCTGGACATGCAGTGGCGCTACAAGCTTTTCCTGTTTTCCGCCACCTTCGCTGGCACCTGGTTTGTCTTTGGAGTGCTGTGGTACTTGGTGGCACTTGTGCATGGAGATTTGCTAGGTGAGCAGGGAAGGAGATGTTCTTCAATAGGACCTGGATATTTATTTTCATAAATATCGCAACCCTGTTATTTCCATGTCTTTGTTTCTTGTCCTTTTCTCACCAGAGTTTGACCCTCCGTCCAACCACACACCATGTGTGATGCAGGTCCAAACCCTAACTGGAGCATTCCTTTTCTCCCTGGAATCACAAACTACGATCGGTTATGGCTTTCGCTGCATCACTGAGGAATGCCCACTTGCTATCATCCTGCTTATTGTCCAGCTTGTCATCACCATGGTGATGGAGATCTTCATCACTGGAACCTTCCTTGCCAAGGTGCAACTAAAACTAAATTAACTTGGGTAAAAAGTTGCTACAGCACGTAGCAAGTGTACAGTTACAATAATTATTATTTCTGGTTGTCTTAATATCTTCAATTTTGAAATGTTAAACCGTCATGTGCCATTTTGGCGGAAAACCTGACATGAGCCTGTTTATAAGCGCTTCTCTTTACAAGTTTGGGATGAAGGCTGGCAAATGTTGACTTCCTAAATGTATAAGTGACCCAAACTCACAGCAAATACAGAGTCGGGGTTTGTGTGGAGCAGCATTTGCTGTGAACTGCTCGGTTCTGTGCTGCTCTGAGACACTGAAAACACTAGATGATCCACCGTGAGCTGTCGACGTGTAAATGAACACAGTGCCGCGCTTCAGTGCATATTTTTATTCAAATAAATTGTAGCCTTTGCTAGTTGATATTCGTATTAAGTGGTATTTTAGATTTATTTCGATTAAACATGCAGCTGTACTGGAACTGGATTGAACTGGAACAATATCTGATTAAGTAATATATATTTTCGTGACTTTTGTGACTCAGATCTAATAAGGTGTCTCAGATCTAATAAGGCATCTATGTTTTCATCTGGGGTATGTAGGTAGCACGGCCGAAGAAACGTGGTGAGACGGTGAAGTTCAGTCAGCATGCTGTGGTCGCCAATCATGAGGGCCGACCTTGTCTCATGATCCGTGTCGCTAACATGCGTAAGAGCCTCCTTTTGGGCTGCCAGGTAAACACACAAATATTTTATTTTAATTTCCAATGTAGCGTATGTGCAACTCATATGTCCAATTCCTGTGGTTCCTCAGGTAACAGGTAAGCTTCTGCAGACGTCGCTGACTAAAGAGGGTGAGACGGTGCGTCTGGATCAGAGAAATGTAGCCTTCCAAGTGGACACGTCCAGTGACAGCCCCTTCCTCATCCTGCCCCTCACTTTCTACCACGTGATAGACGACAACAGCCCACTGCGGGCCTGGGCTGCCAAAGGTACTGAAGACTAGGAGAACTAAGAGGATAACTGGAACAATAAAATGTCATGTTGAATGTTGGAATTCCAAAATGGAGCCTGAAAGCCTAAGCCTAGAATCGTCCCATTCGAAAAAATGTATTCATTACTTTCTACTGTAAGTCGAACTTGTATCATTGTAGCTCAACTGGAAGAGCATGGTGCTGGCTTTGCAAAGGTCTTGGGTCAAGCATCTGCCAAATGGGTAGATGTAAAGCAGAACAGGCACAGTGTCAGCTGGTGCAACCTTAGGTGTCTTGCTCTGTTGGCTCATGGATCGTTCCTTTCGGTGAATGAACCAGCAACCATCTGGTTACCAGCCTTAAGCTTGAACTACTAGACATCACTACTCCATTTCCTCATATATGCACAATTTGAACCCATCACAGGAATTTTTAGATTACTGTAGCTATAACAGTAGAGCATATGCTAGTAAAGCCATGGTCATGGTTTCGATTCCCAAAGAATGTATTCCTTGCGAATTAAACCCATGATGATGTGTATCGTGAACGCAATATAATTAGCTTTTGATAAAAGTGCTTGCCAAATGCATGTGGGTTTGATTCCCAGTTCATGCATTCCTTGGGAATTGAACCCACATGCATTCCTTGAGAATCGAACCCATGAGCATGTGTACCATAAATGCAATTTAAGTTGCTTTTGATAAAAGCATCTGTCACATGCATGCTTTTTAGTTCTTCGCACATTGAAAGAACCTACTGCTATAGATTGTGCGAGAGTGCAGAAATGGCGCTGGCTGTGGTGGCAGATGAAGACTGTCAGTAGGATACACCTGAGAACAGGGACAGCGTGGTTGGGCACTGACCCCCATGGCTCCAGCAGAGTTGCTCTGAGGATAGCGTGCTACACGAGAGAAACGTGAAACAGCAGTGTGGGGAGAGGTGTCAAAGACACCTGAGAAGCTCTGTTCCAGTGCAGAGGTCACGCTGCAGGCAGAAGGTTCAGGGAGTTCTGGCACTTTGAGCACACGCTGGTGCCCTGTTTCCACTGACACTTCACACCTGAATCAAGTGGCTCAATTTATGTTTCCATTTTGCCTCGCCTTGATTAATCATGAGGATAAATGCGAATTAGATTTGTACATTTATTGTTTGCTTGCTGTCATGATTCTAGGGTGCTTGGGTAGCTTGCTAGGGCATTGGTTTTTAGATAATTGCTAGTGGTTGCTAGAGTGTTCTGGGTTGTTGCTTGCTGGTCCACAACAAAATGTAATGATGCATTTGTGTACAGTCTTTATAAGTTAATCGCAAATGAACACCACCACAGTGTTGTTATTATAAGTGGGAAAAACTTAGGGACTTGGGATTTTCTTTGAGCCCTAAGTTTCGGATGTGGGAATGTGTCTTCGACTCATCATCTGTGAATTTGTGGAGGACAGCTGTTGTCCCACCAGTCCTTGCTTCAGTTTGAGCAATAATAATAATAGCACTCTACCAAACAGCGACACTTATCAGAACTAATCATCCAACCAATAGCCAATGTAGTTTGCTTTGATGCTTCGATAATTATTTATTGCGGTACCTCCAAATTCACTGATTATGAGACTAAATGCAAACATATCTCCCCTCCATCATTTGATTTTTGAAGGTTTGCGTGTCAAAGTCAGAACCATGCTGGGAAATACAGACTGCACAAGCCACAAGGCTGGTCTGTTTTAGTGGTTTTAAGGGATTTTGAGTGCTTGACAGCTGGTCAGACAGGTAGACCAGCTTAAACCAGCTAAGACTACGTTTTTCAGCAAGGACCTCTGGTGTCATGATTGGCATTTGGGAATTACAGAAATCCTTTGTGGGAAAGACTGCAAAAGTTTAATTGAATATTGGGAGGTTAAAGGACAGAAGTGGATTTCACATTCTCTCTGCAATTATATTGTGTACTGTAGAACATTTAATAAAGACTTAGGTGAGGGGGGCATGTTTACAAGAACTTGGGGTTTCTATTATTGGCAGATGAGATGCGTTTATTGTCTTCTTCCTCCCTTCATCTCATTTTCTCTCTGTTTGCCCACATTCACTTTCTCTGTAGATGTAGCTTTCCCTCTTTCTTTTATACATTCTCTCTCTTTGGCTGGAATGCGTGTATGAGAGCATGCCAGAGAGTCTCATTAGAGGCACAAAGCAGCCCAGTTCCTGGTGCTGACACGCAGGTCGTGGATCCAGTTACGGTCCCAGTCTCTACCCCATCGAGGGCCCAAGCTATCAGACCCTCCGGTCCCCGCTTTTGCACTTGATTCCCTGAATGTGACTCTCATCTTGCACGTCTATGAGTTTTTCCTGTATGTGCATATCCTTGAGTATCTGTTTATGGTTTCTGTTGTGCTTTTTCTCTCGTCTCAATGCTTCTGTGTGCTTGTAGTCTAGCCAGATCGCCCGGTGTAATTGACTGTAGTCGGATTATACGGTATAGGGTTATATTTAATAGACCCCACTTACACCTAATGCTACTTAATCCAAATGAAACTCATGATGACTTCCCCTTTCACTGTGTCCTCCCAGAAATGAATCTGTTTTGTATGTTGACCGTTACATTTTTCTTTAAAAACCTGAATATGAAGTAGAAATAGCTATTCACGATGCTCCAATGGAAGCACATTTGCATATGAATGAAGAAACTGGCACAGGCCTTAAAAACATGTCTGAAAGCGTGCCGGTGCATTGCAGTGGAAATCTGTATGTGCCTGAGTGGCTGTGTGTAAACGTACGTGTATGGATGTGCGCCAGTGCACCAGTGTGTGTGAAGCTATAGGGAAAAAAAATCCCTAAATACACAGTGTGCCAGTCCGCTGAATGTGGCATTGTGTTTGCGTAAGAGACTGAGAAGAAGAGACACGGGCCTCTGCTGGAGCCCAGTGACAACTCAGCATATAGCTATATGAACCACCAAACAAGACGTTCTTCCATGAATGTGTGTTTGTGTATATTTGTTTGACTCAAAGACTATGCTTTACTTGTGGTTTCAAACTATGGCTGCATGATATATCAAATAAAATATTATGATAGGGCTGGATGCAGTCATCAAATCATGAATGCTGCTATTTAATTTAATAGATACAGAGTAGTGTTGTCAAAAGACTCGGTACTTCAGTACTAAAAAAATTAAAATGTTACGGTACCAGGTTTTTTTAAGTACCGGTGGTACCGAGTACCCGGTCAACCCGGTTCTTGATGCACTATCCGAAAGGTGCGCAGATGCGCTCTCTTCATAAAAGCACGGAGACGTGGCGACCTCAAAAGTAGGAAATGCATCAAACTAACAAAACACTTTAAAGACAGACGCCCGGATCAAATGAAAGAGTTCAAGCAGCTAAGTTTCATTTTAATTTTTAAATCTTGTGTTTCCCATACATTGACTTATTCCCGCCACAATATCAAAACTCACCGCCACAAATAGATTTTCCAAAAGGCTTTGACTTCGTTGAATAAACATGAGTGCAGTGGCACGTGTCAAAGTCGACACCCGGTGCGGGTGTTTTTATATCACTATATTTCTGAAGGAAACTTATGGATGTAATTTTCATTTCATCTTGCCTGTAAGGCCTGAGCAGCATTTGTGAGCGCAGCTTGTGGAAACCTCTATGTCTCCTGCGCTACAAGCGCCACCTGCTGGCAGAGAATGAATTTGCATATATATGCCGCCACAAATAGAGTGCAAGTCTGTGGGAAACACCGCTTCTGTTATGGATATTATTCAATATTTTAATTTGAATGTCGGATTGAAATGAACGCTGTTATTAGAGTAGTTAATCGTTAGCATAAGCGCGGCTAACGCTAATATAATGAGCTTTAGAATGAAGTTTCTCCTATAACTTTATTAGGGTAAAAAAAAAAACAGGAGGACATGATGATATTTACTATTTCTAGTATTGTAATTTAATATTTGTACTGTACCATTTTTGGGGGTTTTAATATTTTGATTTAATATTCACAATAAAAATCAAAACTTGTGACCTATGAAAACTCAAATGGAAAGAGATTTTTTTTAAAAACCAAGTTCACTTTATGGTTCCTGAAAGAGGTTTGGTTCTTGAGTAAACCAAAGTGTGATTTGCACTCAAAAATGTCTCAGATTTTAATTTTTTCAGATTTCTTCTCAAAATTATTTTTATTTTCTGTGCAGTATTTTGCAAGCATTTTGGAACGATTAATTCTTTAGAAATGCTATTAAAGTCATATGAAAATAATATATAGTAATTTTCACCAGATCACAATACATATTGCAGAAAAACTAAATATCACATTGTCAGTTTTTTTCCCCAAACATTTTTTTAAAGGAACATTCAAAAGAAATTACATTTCTGTCATCCTTTACTCACCCTCATGTCATTCCAAATGTGTATGACTTGTGTATTTTTTTCTGTGGAACACAAACGATTTTTTGAAGAATGTTGTCACTACTCGTCACTACTCGTGTCCATACCAAGATTATATTATTGATAGGTTGAAATGTATCTTAATAAATAGTGCTTTTAATGTTAGAAATTACTGTAGTGCAGCACCCAGAGACATTCCAAACATTTCATGTTCAAAACATGCCATATCAAATTGACCCCATGTTTACATACATATAAACTGTAATAATAAAATATTTCATTCTTTTATTCAACTTCTATTTGATGGGGACATGAACATGTACCAGATAGTAGGAATGACCCATATATAAGTAGGCTATCTCCTTTCCTGAAACGCATTAAAGACCACATCAGATCTGCCCGCTAGTAAACACCGACATCCCCTGAGGGTCAGTTCAGTCATGATCAGCATGTGAACGACAACAAAGAATATCTTCATATGCTGATAGTTAATACATGTCAGTGTTTTTGCATTAATTAGCCAGAATAAGCTTTACATTTCTGAGAATTTATGATGTGCCTACACTGGCTCTAAAATGTTTTGAATGCTTAATGCAATTCTTACTCATTAGGAAATATCTCACCATTTATCATCTGTTGTTTTCGCATTAACAATAAAATCAATGACACTAAACGAAATATTTAATAATGTAACG